GTATGTGTGCGTTTGCAACACTGAAGGCTTTTATCCCCGCAAGATAACTGATGGGTGTGACTTGACACGAATGCATGAATGTGTGCAGTGCATGTGTGCGTGTTTACGGCGGATTGATGCAGCCATGTGTGACAGTGAAGTCTGCTGTGTGTCTGCTGTTAAAAGAACACAGGAACCTCATGACAGTGCCTCCGTGTGTGTGTGTTTGTGTGCGCGCTTCTATCTTTGCGAGGATTCACTTCCAATTTGGAAAATAAGGGCTTTTTTTTTAAAGTTAAGATCCCTTTTGAAAAGTCTGAAAATATCAAAGCAAGGGCTTGTTCTGAAAAGTGATGACACTTCTCACTTCAAAGACTTTCTGAGGGTTTGTGCTTTGTTTCAGCATAAGGATTAGTAACACATTTTAAGATTAAGATTAAAGCTTTGACAATGTAAACATGGAAGTAACGGCCTGTGTATGAGATGTAAATGTAAAGGCTCTTTTCTTTAAAATTTAGAATTTACTTTTAGCTGAATCTGTTTTGTGGTTCTCCTCATTAGGAAGCCAGCACCAATTTTGTTTTTGTCTGTTTGTCTGTATTTTTTATGAACCAGAAACTGGAGGCCGAAATGCAAACCTGAGCGTCTCTCTCCGCTGAGCTGGTACATTCAGCCAGTTCACAATGAATGCCTGACAAACTCAAACTTTAGCCAGTAAAACAAAATGATAAGACAAAAACAAACTAAAGGAAAAGGATACATGTGTATAAGGGGGTTAGCATGATCACAAGCAAATCAAAAGCAATAGAGACCGACTGCAGAAGCCTGTTGTTTTACATCTGCTCTGACATAGTACAAAGATCATCTGGACGTTGGCTTTTGAAGGGTCCCTCTATAAAAGAAGCAACTGTGTTTCACAGTTAATTGATATTACGTAACTGGCCAATTTACTCAGTACTGTGGCCATGAATTTACATGAATAAATGAGACCACGATGAGGTGTTTGCTCAGGTGACCAATCAATCTGTCTTTGAGTCTTTGTGAAATCACAGTTCAAAGTGTTGCTTTACTGAAATATTAACAAAGATTGTTTGCAAGCCCACGACAGAGAACAAAAGTTTAAATGGCCTATCAAGATTCCCATCAAGCACTTGAACATAACAACTGAATAATGTTAAAAATTCAAGTATTTTTTAAAATTTTACATCTGGGGTGTCAAGCTCATTTTAGCTCGTAGGCCACATACAGCTTGATTTGATCTTAAGTGGGCAATTGCAAACCATTGCATAACAACCTCTAAAGTGCTCCCTTTCTTTTAGTGTACAGAAGTACATTCTGCACACTTTCCTGTTTAATGAACCGTCCACTTACAAATGACAGCTTGACGTGACTGAAAGTGAACCTATTATGCTTTTTTGAAAATATTTTCTGCCATATGTCACATAATGGTGGATTCTCTTATTAAACATGGCAAACGTTTCAAATAAAGAGGTCCGTATATCCTTGAGTAATTTCTGTGAGCCAAAAGTTCAGGCTGTAGTGTGCTCTGAATGCTTGATTTCATTTTTTCTACTTTTGGATCTGTATGATGTGAATGAGAGAAGATATACATAATATGGTCCCCTCAGGCACACAGCTCCACCTGTGAGCACGGAAGCCCCACCTACCCGCTATTCAAACCTGTTCAATGAGCAGCCAATCAGATGGAGTAGCTAAAACAGCTTGTTTGAACTGAGGTGCTGCACCAAGGACCATTAAAATATCAATAAGCGTTATCTTCTAACTGAATTATGCAAAGCTATTTTGAGTCCAAGAATTATGTCTGACTCCTCAACAGCCTCCAAACTCTGGAGATTCATCTAGTGGGCAGCACTGAGTCCTTTGAAGGACTGGGGCTGTCTGCTTAACTTACAGAATGAAAGTAGGCTATAATGATCCATGGATATAATAGCCATTTATCCCCTTAAGGATACATGGTCACATGCATTTCTTTGAAATCTTGTTTTGATTACAACCATAGACTGTATATAAAAGAGGGGCAGAGCAGAAAAGTGCAGCTAGTGCAGCATTTTTCAAATGTCCAGCAAGAGGTGACTGTTTGCAGACGTCTAGGAAGTACTTGTCCTCAGTACTTGTCTGATGAAGCACATTTAACATTTCTAGCCTATGACATCGCGATATGTTTCTGAATCAGCTCCACCTCACATCATATCCTGTTTGTAATCACCAAGATTGTCATACCAAAAAAGGTCAGCTCAAGACTTCAAAACAGGACTTTGCTAATTCATCTTTTATATACAGTTTAAGCTAATTACCTGGTCATAGCAAATGAACTATAATCTTACAAACTCTTTGGAATCGGTCACTAAAAAGGTGTGCATGCCACTTTAAAATTACGATAAGCTAAGTTTGGTAAGATTGTGGGAGCTCCTTTGTAGACGTCACTTTTATTTCACTTGTTTTGGGCCGGTACAATCACAATATTACTCATCTTTGGTCTCGTGTATTCACTATGGAAGGTTTTTGTGCTTAGATTGAAGTTAAATTAAGCTTACAGATCACATTCAGACCCTTCAAAAAGCTATGCTGTTATCAGCTCAGACTGGATGAACTCTACCTGCTGACAGAGTCGGCTGGTACGACAGGAGAAACGTCAAATCAACACCAGCTGATAAAAACGGGCAAAATATTTCCGATCAGCCTGTTCAGAAATATTCAGAAGCTGACACGGTGACAGTCGTTCTAGCCAAACTTTCCTCACACTTCACAGACTTACTGTCCTCGTATGACCTTCCACACTTCAACATATGTTGTGTTTCTTGACATGTGTGACAGGCTTTGTCTCATGTCTTACTTTTCTTGACCTTCTTCTCTTCGTCGTTCTCGCTGGCGCCCAGCAGAGTAAAGATGATGCCTGTTTGAGAGTTGAGGCCGACAGCTGACACCACCATCCTGCCTGATCCCTCCATCACGTGGGTCCCTGAGGAAATATTCAAAAAGCTACGAGTCAAAAAAGAAGCTTTATTTATTTATTTTTTAAAACTGTTACTGTGTTCCTGTCATTTGTTTTCATTTTAAATCAATGTCAAAGCACTTATTTATCCATCAAATCTCATTTTAAGACGCATTACTGAATATTTAAAATGACATGCTTTTACTTATGTTGCTTTTTTTCTAGGTAAATAGTCTTGCACTCCTGTGTAGCCCTACTCTGCATCCAGATATCCTTCTGAATCAAGGGATTGAATTCATACATGGGAAATTTTAGCTTTGGCGGGGGCTCAGACAGCTCTTGTGTTATAAGCAGGACATCAATCTTTCAGTCAAACACCGTGAACCTGATTTTTTTAGGAGAACAGTTTTCCAGGCACTCACCGGACAGCAGCATGGGGTCTTTCTCCATAGACTTGCGAACCTGGTCAGATTCTCCTGTCAGAGAGCTCTCGTCAATCTTCAGGTCGTTGCCTTGGATCAGGATACCATCAGCAGGCAGCAGGTCTCCTGCAAGCAGATCAATCAGATGGGTCAGAATCTTTTTCCCCCCATCAGCCACAGGGTTTGAACAGGATCTTACACAGAGTCCTTTTAAATTTAAATTTTGTATTGTAAAGCAGCTCCACAAAGGTTGTTGCTGTAGTCATAAAAGCTTGACAGTTAAACATCACATGAAATAACCAAATAACAATGTTTGAGTTTGATACCGTATTTGATCTGAGCGATGTCTCCAACCACGATCTCGGCCACAGGGATCTGGATGACCTGACCTTTGCGGATGACCGTGAACTTTTGTTCTTGCTCGATGCGACTCTGCAGCCCGCGGAATTGCTTCTCCTTGGACCAATCGTTGAAGGCCGTCACCAGGACCACAATGATGACTGAGAACAAGATGGCAGCGCCTTCGATCCAGCCAGCCTGGGCCTCGCCCTCGTCCTCTACGCCACCCGAAGTTGCGCCGCATGCTGTGAAAACATGAGGACATGTTGAAATCAAATTCCATCATAACAGCAAAGACAGGTGGCGAGATGGAGAGCTCTTATTGGAAAGGTTAGGCAATAATGGCTGATTGTGTAATGATTTAATGAACAGGTAAGGCAAGAAGCTCTAAGCTGTGATGAGGTTTAACCCTCTCAAGCCCGAATTAAGTTTTTTGTTGCTAATGCACAACCAAATCCTGCAGTGGTACTTCTGAGTAAAAAAAACTCATAAAATATGTATGTGGGGTAATCAGGTTGTTATGTCTTAACTGTCGCAAATCTGCTACGTCTGCCTGGAGAGGGTTAAGATGACATATGGTATTGTATTGTGCATTTAAAGTGGGAATCCTGAAATTCCAAGTTTCCAGTTGCAATTTTCATCTGGATGCTCTCTCAAGTCAGACTTTCTACTTAGAATTTGGAGACGCAACAAAAAACCCACATCTGAATTCTTAAATTGCTGTGACAACCATAGACCAGTGGAATATGCTCCACTCAGGCATGACATCATCACATTATAATTTTTTCTCTTTTGGATTTTTATGAAGGCACAAAACACAACATTGCACAACAACTGTATCTCAGTTATCCTGCTTTAATAATTGTAAAATCATTAAAATTTAATTAATTGCTCAGCCGTCTTTCAAATTAGCAAAAAGCAAGAATGACCTGTATCCTTCAGTCAGGAATACTGTCAAAAGCTAAACAAAAACTTTACTTAAACAACTTTATTTACAGTACATATAATATATACATCCCCATATAAATAATAATATAAATTTAAATATAAACCAACTACCTACATATATCAGAATACTGAAAATAAATAATAATAATTAATAAATACATGTTACTTTTGGAATAGATGCAGTAATTGTGGGATGTGCAAAGGTTTGGGCTTTCAGTAACCCCTATGGGATTATCACAGCTTGGAAAACCTTAACCTTTAATCAGCTGAAAAAGTTTCTTCTCCTAATTTGTCATCTTTCAGAAATTCGTGACTAGCAGATAATTTCCTGTTTCTAGATATTTTTAGACTCCCTTGCATGCAAAGCATCTTCACAATCCACAAACATACTGCTCCCTTTTTCAGCAAACAGAGCTTTGATAATTAAGGCCAACAAAACATATTTTATCTCAGTCTGCACACAGCAGCTGTTACTCTGATCCAAATGCTGCTTTGCTGACCACACACACTGACTTTTGTGACGCAGCAGCAGGTGAGGATTTTCCTTTGATGTGGGCCCTGATTGTGAATGAACCCCACGCAGCGAAACAGTGCAGCATCACTTCTGTGTCAGCTAAACATTCCCGTTGCTGCTCCTCTGCAGACATCTTGTTTCGATTCCTGGCGCTCCCATCAACCACCACTACTGAATGACATTTTAGACAGCAAGCTGGAAGTGCTCTGATTTCCTTTTATAGCCTTCCCTGCTTCGTAGGCATCAGCTTCATTTTCAGATTCTCACTCACTTGATTAGAGAAGCCCGTGAATGTGTGAGTGTTACCACGAGGCTTAAAGACTCAGATAATTTATCAGGCTCTGAATTGTCATCAAGTGACAATTCCTGATGGCAGTTCTTAACCTCTCTTAGCCAACTCAATTAAGGCTCACTGAGCTAATGAAGTTCTTGCCACAATTATAGTTTCATTATTTGCATGACATAAAACGTATCTGCGTGTAAACACTTGAAGAAAGTCACGTTTAGATGTTTGTTTTCTGCACCAGTTTATTTTCTTACTTCATTTTAATGCAAAAATTGACAGTAATGGAAACTAGCCCAGTAACTACTGACATTTTTAAACAAATCAATGATCAGATTTCTTGTTTTATAAAAGTGGATTACGTAAAAATGAAAGTAAATAAATCCACTTATAATTTACCCAGAAAAACATACCTGATAAAAGCATGTAATTAAAATAAACAACATGGATATAGAAAAAAAATACAGGTGGCCGCTGGTGCTACTCGTCAGCCCCTTAGTAGATACATGTATGGTATTCATTTGAAACTCCCATGTTGCCTCCTTTCACAAGATTTCACAAACTTGAGTGTCCACATCAAGTTCTAGTATTTTATAACAGTGCTCTAATTAATCTGCATCTGTGCATGACACCCGTTCAGCTGTGACCAACCCAGCCAGTCAGCTGATTGCTGGGCTTGCCTTTTTCAGGTGTTTAACCCATGTTGCCTTCCACCTCACAAAGGAAATGATTTCACTTCCTGGGAGTCTAATAAAACGGTGGTTTTCTCCTCCAAGTTAGCTTCACTTGCTTTGGTTAATGTTGGAGTTCCCTCTATTTTAAGCCACGGGTAGTTTTGTCTTAGCAGTTATTTGATTTCTTAACTAATTTAACTTAATTCGTTTAAAATAATAAAATTATCCAGAGAAAAACTCCAAAAACCAGACGACACGCTGCAAACAAGCGCTTGGCGACAGTGGGAAGGAAAACTCCACTGGAGAAACAACCCTCTTTGTTATGTCTATGTGTGCAGCTTGGTATACTGATAACTTAGCACTGCCACCTCTCCATATATGTTCATCTCTGGCTCTGAAAAACCACCAGCTGGCAGCAGCTAAAATGCTCAGGTTGAGTCTTCAGTGTACCGAAAGCAATGGGTAAAGACACAGCGTCTACGACGATCTACACTGACCTTCACTGTCACCGCCAGGTGGATGGTAGAAAGACAGACCCAGTGAGATGATTGCAGCGATTTCCAGAATGATAAGCGTGACGTCCTGCAGAGCTTCCCACACCAGCTGCAGGAATGTCTTGGGCTTCTTTGGGGGGATAAAGTTCTGTCCAAATGCCGTGTGACGTTTTTCCAAATCGACAGGGTTACCAGACAGACCTGCAGACACAACCGAAAGGTCATGAATATTGACATCAACATTAGTTATTGTTCTTTAGTAAAACAGTAATTGTTCTGACATGTGGATGGAAACTTGGAGAAATGTCAAATGAATCCAGCAACATGACAAAGAGTGCAGACATACAGACACAGTTACGAAGAACAAGGACTTTTCTATATCAATTTATTTTCGTTTTTGCACTTTTTTTTAAGGCTTGGGTTTTATTTTATTTCTGTTAACTGAAATTATTTAATATTTTAAAGAACTGTGCAGAGATATACCTTTACTCCGTTTTCAGTATTTCTGTGACGTCTCTCTGTGTGTACCTGTGTTGCAGGTGAATGAGTGTTGCAGTCAGACTGAAGTGTGTTGCTGTGTTAATATTTAGTTAGAGCAATGCTGTTTATAGTGCTAAAGTTCACCGGCCCTAAATATCTCAATGAATTTGAAATATAACTATTACAATCTTGTTCTGCAAGACATGCTTTTTCCACCACAGCATATCAGCAGCAGCAATAGCAGCTGTGTATAAGGGTCAAAGGCTAACTCCTGTCTTCAAACTTTATTATGTTAACTCACCACACAGGGCAGAAGATGTACTTTAGTAATAGAAAGTCACGATCAGCCCCTTTTGCTGCAGACTGCAGCATTTCCACACACAGTACTTATTTGAGCAATTCACCAAAACAGACCTGTTCCACCCAGAAACCATCTGCAATGACATACTCATCATTTCCGCCACAAAAAAAAATGACCTAAAGGTCAGAAATCTGGTACACTCAGGTTCAGCAACAAAGATTGGAAAAATAAATCCCCTGATCAAGCGTGAATTATAAGCAGCTGTGATGGGGTGTGTTGTTTTATAAGTTTCAGTGACGATTCCTGAACGTTTCTTTTTGTTTCGCTTTGTTTTGTAACAGCGGCTGAACTTTTGTGGCTTGCGACCTCTAAAACAACCCTTCATTCAAAGTTACAACCGTCTACGGGCTGCAATTAGTTCAACCAAAGAGAAATGATGTAATTAACTTTTAGAGGGTGATGAACTGAAAATCCCAGGAAACCTAAATATTAGCGGAAAGCAGATAGAAAGCAGTCATCCTGCCACCCTTCAGCTTTATTCTGTGGCCCCTCGTGTTGATCACAGTCACCGGGTCAGGGGCCTCCACTGTGTGTGTGTGTGTGCGGCAGCGATGAAACCAAAGCAGCCTGAACTGACCCAAGTTCCCCTCCCGCTGAACACGCAATCTGCTGCTCCACCAGAGCCAATCTGCTCCATGTCAACACAGCACCACCCGTTCAGACCAGCCCAGTCTGGATGAGTTGCTCACAGGAAACTAATGAACCATCCCGCTAATCAAATTTGAAATCTAAATGAACAAATTGACAGATTATACACATTTTATACTGCAGCAATCATGATTTAAGGCTTATCAAAACCTTAAACTAAAGCTGGAGCCTGTCCCAGCCGACACTGGGCAAGAGGCAGCAGACTGTGGACAAGTTGGCAGTCAACTGCATGTCTAGAATCATCAATTAACCTGACGGGGAGAGCACGCAAACACAAGTTACAGTCTCGGTCGTTGTGTCCTTGGGCAAGACCCGTTGTCTACTGGTGGTGGTCAGAGGGCCTGGTGGCGCCAGTGTCTGGCAGCCTCGCCTCTGTCAGTGCGCCCCAGGGTGGCTGTAGCTAAGATGTAGCTTGCCATCATCAGTGTGTGTGAATGGGTGGATGACTGGATGTGTAAAGCGCTTTGGGGTCCTTAGGGACTAGTAAAGCGCTATACAAATACAGGCCATTTACCATTCAACCAGTTTACGGTAAGGTGAAAAAACTACTGGTGGACTAAAGTGGGTGGGTTTTTGTGTCTAAAGGGGCGTTCCAACAGGAAGAGACTGACCAGACCATTAAAGGTCGACAAATTTCAGCAAATTTTGAGATTAGCACCTGAAACAACTACCAATGAGAGCGAAGGATAATACTGACTGAACTTGTTAAATCTCTCCAAAGAGTCCTGGGTCTACCCCGGGGCTTTCTTCCGGTAAGACAGGCTCAGAATACCTCACCTAGAAGCCATCCTGGAGGCCTCCTAGTCAAATGTCTGAATCACCTCAACTGGCTCCTTTTGATGTGGAGGAGCAGCAGCTGCACGCCGAGGCCCTCTCGAATGGCTCCACACCCCATCTCTAAGGGAGAAGGAAACCCATTGTTGCCGCTTGTAATGGGTGGCAGTCAGAGGCGGAGGAATGTACAAGGAATGTCATCTTGCTTTACAGGAACATTTGCTCTATGTTGCAGTGTAAATGTTTATTCAGCACTGTTTTCTAGAAGGACTTTTCATAACGTTCACCTCAAAACAGTCTGAAAACACCTTCTGTAACTGCAGTCAAACCTCACCTTACTTAACCTTATTGTTTAAGAGTAAAACACTGTCCTTAAACACACCATTAGAACTTGCAGATGGTGTTTGCTATTTTTGTGGAAGCATCCCTTCTAGCAGAGTTGCATCAAATTTCTGCTAATGTCAGTCACTGGATTTCTCCAACTAATCAATGAGTTCACCGAATTGAAAAATGCCAATGTTTCTCCTCTTATCACTCTGCAGAGAGATTGCTCCCAAACCTCTGCTTACCGAGGAACAAACAATATCACTGAGTTATTGATTCCAGAACTGTGACTGTCATTTTCCAGCCGTGGCTCATATCTCGCTGCTCATTCATTCTCCATATAAAGATAGTACAAACAAAAAGATTTCCCAGTCGACCCAGATGCTCAGAAAGACGGAGACACCAGGGCTTCATCCATCTTCAGAGCTCCTTACTTGTGGTTTTATTGAAACTGGGCTTAAATTAGATTTTAAAAACACCAACTGCAGTTTGCTAATTAAAAATGGATAATCAGCAGCTTGTTTCTGTATTGATTTTCATTCACCGGAAGAATCTCAACAGTTAGCTCTTTAAAATCACGTGTTCTCGTTAACTTTAACTGGTGTTTGCTGCAACTTTAATGACACACACATACAACTGAATGGAAAAATAGTGTAACCACTTGTTTAATTATGTATTTTTCCACTAAAGTCTGATCATCAAAGACGTCCTCCTCATGGTCACGCGGGCACCAACATGGCTGCTGGGGATTCTTAGAGAAATCGGGAGGTATGCAGTGGAACGTGATCTGAATGTTAACAGACCCCACTGCCAGGATCTCTCATGAAGACAGCCTCCAAGTCAGCATGAACATGAGCTCAGCCATGTCTCTGCCGTCACATGTTTTAATAACGGACTCTTATTCTCGCTCTCTCTGATGATGCTGTCCAGACGGACCGAAAGAAGAGTTCCTCCTCTCCTCCTCGTGAATTCTCCCCCGTCTGTCACACTCCTCTTTGGATGCAGTAATGAGGTGAAACTATGAGACACTAGCTTCTGCCATTTTGAGGGTTTGCCTACACACAGCACACACAGATGTACTAGTTTCATGCCATCTAATCTTAATTGGATAGCTTCAGCGGCAGAAATATTCCACATTAAGGCTGACCGAGATAAGGTGAGAGATTAGATGTGGTAAAGGAGAGATGAGAGGAGGGCAAATAAGGTGAGGGAAGAAGAGATGGGGTGTGGATGGTGTAATGATATAAGGTTAGACGGAATAAAATAAGGAGAAAGGACACAACGTGAGATAAGAAGAGACAAGTTGAGATTAAATAAGTTCAGTGAGATCAATGAGATGTGAGGCGGCTTAAGACAGTAGAGGTGAAATGTGATTAAAGAAAATTAAAGTAAGGTGATCCTATGGCATATTCACACCAAACCCAATCAAAACCTATGCAAAGACACAAAGTAGGGGATGTGCGTAGAAGTGAATCTGTGTGTGGATGTTAAAGATATCACATTTTCACTCTGTGTCTCAAAAATCTATCAGCAGACACTGGCTGTCCCACAGACTGTGGATGCTCCTGAGCCCACTGACAGTGCAAGTATCTGTAGCCAAACTCATCGTTTCCAACAGGTCAGAGAATGACTGCGATCTGGTAGTGAGTCAACTAAGTGAGCTGACTTTATACTATCATACCTTAAATAGCATGAGCTAATTCTGAATCAGGAGTTTGCATGTTCTCCCCGTGTTTGCGTGGGTTCTCTCCGGGTACTCCGGCTTCCTCCCACCGTCCAAAGACATGCAGCTTGTGGGGATAGGTTAATTGATTAATCCAAATTGTCACTAGGTTTGAATGTGCGAGTGAATGTGAGTGTGAATGGTTGTCTGTCCCTGTGTGTTGGCCCTGCGACAGACTGGCGACCTGTCCAGGGTGTACCCCGCCTTTCGCCCTATGACAGCTGGGATAGGCTCCAGCGCCACCCGCGACCCTGAAAAGGATAAGCGGAAGCGAATGGATGGATGGATGGATAATTCTGAATCAAGTAAGCTGATCTGAAAACATAAACTTTGACAATTAAAAAAAATATTTGAATATTAATATTAATACTAACAAATTGTAAATTGTTATCATTGGACTCACGCTTTGCATAATTCACGGTTCAAAATCACCCTTTTTTTAAATCTCCATCAGCCTCGGTACAGCACCTCAGTTCATCTTTTGTCTGAAACAAGCAGCTTTAGCCTTTAAGCTAGATGTCTTTTGTTGGTTTAATCAGAAGGCAGGCAGAGCTCTGTGCCTGAGATGACCACGACATAAACTTGCTTAGAAATACAGACCCAAGAGCAAAAAAACCCCCCACAAAACTGCCAAAGTGAGCATTTACAGCAGTCTGAACCCTGAATCTGTGGCTCATAGGGATTAATGTTCACCAGTATAAATATGAGAAAATAAGGAATGACGTTTTTTTTGGATACTTCTTAATGATCCTTGTCTAATGTGGCACTTGTTAAATCTCTACATGCTGCAAACCATTTGCATTCTTTGAACAGATCATTTCCAAGCTTTTTGCCTTTTTTTTATAGTTTTATTTTTAGCAACTAAAGGTGACATGACACATATTAAATATA